ATAATAATAATAATAATAATAATAATAATAGTAGTAATAATAATAATAAGGACTGTATGACCATATCCTCATTGCCTTCCACACCTACAAAGGAGTAACCCAGAGGACACTCCAACTTCTACTATGCAGCTTCAATTCTACATAAATGAACATGTGATGAAGGGTTATTAAACTGCCTGTAGTCTATCTGTAGTTTCTGCTTCTGTGCTGCAAACAATTTAGTGTTACAAATAGCTTTCCAGCCCAGATAAACCAATTTTCTCTTTGTCAACAGCTTCCTCCGAGAGCCTTGAGCTGTATCCGGCCTCTCAGACAACAGACAGTCACCAGTCTCACCTCCTCTCGCCCTCACCAACAGACATCAGCTCCTACATCCCTACACAAATGGTGTCTACTGCGCAGTAGAAGTGCTCTGGCAACATAGTGTCTCCTCGCTATCAGCTGGTCTCAGGAGCATGATGGTGTTTTGGATGGACAGCTACCTCTGGTTTAAATTTCCAGAAAAAACCTGGAGTCAGGGGCCACAGTGGCGATTCAGCTTTGATGTTTCACAGGCTCTCTGAAACTCTGTGCCACTGTAATACGAACAAGGATTGACATTAGAGAAGATTAACTTTTGATACAACAATCAACTGAAAAATCAACACCAAAATGTATTTTTATTAAGATGTTTTAGTAACATTCAAAAATTGTACATTGAGTTTTAACTTGTAAACTGCATGTTACCTGCATTTTTTATGTCATTGCCTTGAAATGCTTTTTCACACTCTTAATAAGTATCTTTAATAACAAAGTAAAGACTATCTCAAGAATAACAATGAGCAATGGAATGAATACATTAATGTTTAGATAAACTTTTTTCTAATGTATTTTCCTTATGTTATGAAACAAATGGCTTTCTTAAATATACTCAAAATGTTTTGAAAGGTTTTGCAGACTGGAGAACAAACATCCCAAAACAGTGAAAGATTAGTCCTTAGAAATTCAGTTCAAAGCTTCTTCCTCTGTGAGAAACTTTTGCTTCTTTTTCTTTTTCCGTTTTACTTTGACTTGCATGTGTTCCTGCTCAGAGTTCCCGTGCTCACCATTTCTGTGAGCATTAAGAGGAGAACCTGCAGAGTCCACCTGCTCGCTCTCTTCTTGATTCTGTTTCCTCTTTTTCTTCTTCTTTTTAACAACATGGTTCTTCTCTTCCTCTGCCACTTTCTTCCTTTTCTTTACTTGTTCTGAGCAGGGAGGCTCTGCTGAGGGAGTGGAGAATGTAGAGGGCAGTGACGATGTGGATAAGAGATCTTTGACAGACACTGCTGCCTCCTTCAGCCTTGTTTCCATCTCACTGTCGCTGTCACTGTCACCAACAGAGGAATGTGTAACGTTAGAGTTACTAAACCCCCAAACCACTTTTTCAGTTAAAAACCAATATACCTGTATGGGTATTTAGTCATGTTGTTAATTGATTCAGGTCCAAATCTTGAAATTTCAGTGCAACATATTTAATTCTAAGTATTGTGTTGTAAATGATCATAGTGACTGCCCTCCATAGGCTAAAAAAAAAGTCTTGCCACCAGACAATCAGAGATCTCCGCCTTCTGATAGTCTGGGGACACTCCTTTCTAAAGTGTGATTAACACACCGGCGAAAACGGCCGGCAACAAAGCAACACCTCTTGCATTTTTGAAAAGGACAGGCCTTCTCGGAAATGTGCGCTCCCCCTTTTCTCGTCCGCAAGGACACAAACACACAGAGAGCTTGAAAATGGATGCCGAGAGATTTAACTCTGTTTTATCAAACGTGTGCTCATCCATGAAGAAAATATTTTTTCCAGCGGATGTCTTAGTTACAACATGATTGAGCTAACTGGATTAGTTTCATGTCGTATCCGACAATGGGAGGCTTTTAACAGATGACGTCCTGATGTTTGCTTTGCAGCTGCTGTTAGCTGTCCCTGTCAGCTGCAGCCACTGATGCTTTCTAGACATCGTGATTTCCCAAAACTGAATTAATACCACACATAGCAACACAAAACTGCTTTGCTAGCTCAATCATGTTGTAACTAAGATATCCGCTGGAAAAATTATTTTTTTCACGGACCCTTTATTGAGTTATTACCTATTACAGACACTGCTAACTGCTAAGAAATAGTAATGTTTGTTCAATCATTGTGTTTATAGACTTTACAAACATCGGATTAGTCTAAACAGTGATACAGTGATTTGAAAAATGTGATCTGCTGGTTTTCTGCCTGGAAGTATTTGCAAACAACAAGGCGATTGCCTCTATAGTCCGGCCGGAAGGATGAGTCATGGCCTTGTAAAAGATTATGTTTGTTTCTTTTAGTTGGCGAGAATGTGTCGCCGCAAACGCGACAAACATCCACTAACTTTGACAGCGTTTTCTGCGAGTGTGGCTGAGCCATTTTGTACCTCTACACGTGTTTCTAGTTGGACTATGTTTACAAGCACAAGAGTTCAGCGAGCCACCGAAGGACCGCCCTGCAGATTTACTATTGGTTCTGCAATGTAGGGAGTTTTTTGAAACTCTGAAATTGTATCCACCCATCTAAACACAAAATCAGGGAGAAAGTCATCAGTCTTTAGTTAAGCAAAGCGTCTAAAGACTGACTTGTGAGTCTAGCTAAAACCAGGCTATTGCAACTGAATTTTGCTTTTGGCTGATCCAGTGCAAAGTGCAAAGGCAGTTTTCCTCACCAATCGACCGACTGACTAACCACCTCCTGTCTCTGCAGACTGTGGCAGCAGTGGTCACTCAGTCAGTTACTATACAGCTTTAATTAGCCCAAGATATACAAATAATGGAAGTTCTTTAAAAACAAAATGATAAGAACCTTGAGCTGGGAATAGGCCGGCGCCTCACAGGGGCTGGAGGATCATCAGCTGTCTGTCCTGGGACTGATGTAGAAAAAAGACGAAACCCTGAAAAATAGATAAATAAATAAATAAAAGCCAAAGGAAAACATGGAGGGATGTACATTTAAAGAAAATGTGACAGAATCCCCATGAAATTTGCAAGTACCAAAAATAAAGACAAACCTCACCTTCATCATCATCATCATCATCATCATCATCATCATCATCACATTTTGCTGATTGCAAACAGGACAAAGTTTCCATCTTCATCTCTGTAATGGAGCTGACAGTGGCAGGCATATTATAAGTAACATGTAAAAATATGTGCATCCTGTCCTCACATTATTCGGAGATGATTGCATTACAATGCTAAACTTCTCTACACTGCCAAACTACTTACTTGTCAAGAAGATGTCCCAACTTTTTGGCAACGTGTGTTCGAAACCCTTGTGTGACCTGGAGCTCGTTGCCATCATGGTCATGGTCAGCGACAACAACACTGTTGCATGGCAAGAAAATATTTTAACTTATCTCATTTGTGATATTCAAATATTTGTATGAAATTCAGCATTCAATTTTACTGCAGCACCTTTCATATATAACTATAGCTGACACACTGGAACTGTGTCAACTTCCTAATGGTAGGAAGCTGAAAAGTTAGTTATATAGGCTTCTTAAACTGTGTGAAGCACAAACAATTTTACAGTAGCCCCTCTTCCTTGTTTATACAGATTAAAGTTTGATGTTATGAGGACAAAAATAGCTTACCGCTTTGATTGTTGCACATTGCTCTCCCCGTCTGTAACAAGCAAACACACCAGCAGTTTTCAACAGGTAAAATGCATATGACAAACTCTCAGAATGCGTTTTAATGGACTACCAGCTCAGTTGTTGGTACCGAAAGTTGAAACCAGTAACCCTGCTAAAGGTTAGAGCACGTTAATGAGCTATGAAGTCCAATAAAATGTTTTATTTTTGACAGTCACGTACCTTCAGGTAACGTTTAATGACAACTAACGTTACTATCTCTGTATGTGCATTACATGTATTAAGGGTGGACTTTTCACCAGGCTACTGCCGCCGTATTTCTACCGGAGTTTATCTGCTTGTACAGGCAAGTTCACTACGTCCCTCACTATGAGATAAAAGAAAAACTTTTACCTTTATTATTCACACTTTGTGTCTCCCAAACTGCCTCCCGACACTTTTTCAGCGCTTCATCGTCACTACTGCTGGAGTCTTCAGACACACCGACCATCTTTTTAGTGGAGGCCGCCATGATAAAGGCATGTGCTGCTAGTGTTGTCTGTTTTGAGCTGAGGATTCTGGGTAATGGAGTCAATGAGAACTGAAGGCCCAGAAATGGGCTTTTTTCTGTCATTAGGGACGATAGGGGGTCGCCAGTTCGAGTCTCCCAAATACGGAGCGTGGACTGGTAGCTAGAGAGGTGCCAGTTCACCTCCTGGGCCCTGCAGAGGAGCTCTTGAGCAAGGCACCGGACCCCAACCACCCAGCATGCCTGTCCATGGGCAAACCCCTCACTTTGACATCTTCCCATTTAATGCATGTTTAGGTCCTGTATGTATGTATGACAACAGAATGAAAAATTTAAATTCCCCTCAGACATTAATAAATTTCTTCTTCTTCTTCTTCTTCTTCTTCTTCTTCTTCTTCTTCTTCTTCTTCTTCTTCATGCTGCAGGACAACCACCGCACCACCCAGCTTGGTCTTAGCAAGGTGCTGCAGAAAACATTTCATACAATCCCCAAATGCAAAAGCAAGCAGGTGGAACACAGTGAATACAGAAAAAAACATATCCATTCAGAAAGCACCTTATAATAGTATCAATTACAATGTCATCACATAGTAAATGAGGCTTTGAGAGGGCTCAGGCTACAGCCATCATTAATCAGAGATCCTCAGATTTATAAAACAAAAAGGCCAAATCAGAGGCCAAAATAGGCCAGTGCTTTATAATGGTGTTTCTAAGGATAAAGACCTGATGAGTCTAAGTGGGTATACAGGAGATGGAGTAGCTTTCATCTTTTTTGACACTTCTTTGTAAAAGATTGGATCTAGAGAAAGCACCTTGGTAGGCCTTATCAACACACTGTAAAGAGTAGCCTCTGTCCAGACAATTTATGGCAGCAGCTTTATTAATAAATTCCTCATTACAGTGACATACATGTCTGAGCCTATAAAACTGACTCGTGGGTAAACCATACTTTAAAGCTCTGTGATAATTCAATCGTCATACAACTTTGAGAAACAAGCTGTTTGAACAGAACCACATCGGAGAGAAAATATGTTAAATCCTCATTGTACTGATAGAGGAAGTAAAAAGATCTTGAAAAACCAAGAGCTGTGCAAAAATGGTCATTCCATAAACATTAAAAACAATGTCATAGATTTCCCATTTTACATTTCCAACATACGGAGATCAGAATTAAATGGAGATTTCATGTCATACCAAAAATATTCAGTTTGCAACAGCTATCCAAAATTGTGTGGATATAGGAAAGTCAACAGAATTTATGTTTTCATGAGGTACCAATATGGCAGATGTAATGTAAATATACATATATAATGCATGATTTGTCTTGGACAGGCCACATAGTCAAACCATATGTCTGTGTTTACCATTTATGCCAATGTGGGGGGGGGGGGGGGGGCATTAGTTTCATGTTTTGCAGTCTGTCTTTTTTATTTACATTAAATTTCATACAACATAAATGCATCATTTTTTAAATCAGCCAATATAAAAGGAGTAGTCTATTTATCAGGTAACAGAATGGATTCATACATTGTTCGGGGGGGGGGGGTCATGTCATAAAATCTTTTTGTGCAGATATACAAAGTGCCATTTAGACCAGATTTTAAGACAAAATACCACAGACTGAAAACATGCTGCAAAACAATGCACAGTCTTCTCAGCTCCTACAACACCAGTGTTGCTAACCAGCTGTCAATCTGACAAAAATTGAGGGTGTATAGAGTCCTGGAGCAAAGACTACAGATGTCCATGCATGTGCCTGATATCACACTTGATGGGGTTATTACATAATGACTTGATAAAATGCCAAAGTTTGTACAGGTAAAGAGTACATGAAATGACTCAACACATGCTGTAAGACACCCATATCACACCAGGCAGTTCTGCAAAACGCTGGAGTGGAATATTCTTTCCTTTACCTTTATGCAGTGTTTGCCTTACAGGTGGATGATGCACTTAGTCCTCCTACATACAAAAAGCAACCCAACAATGAACACCTAGATATAAGGCACATGGAATCAATGTTACAATGTACAGTAAACGGATCATTTGTGCATCAAAAACTACTTCCAGTCTGTACCAGTGGTTCTGCATTTAAATGCATTACATCATGGTGTCAGAGCAATGCTGACCATTTACATGGTTTTAGGAGTTTCTCCTGCCTTTCAGGCCGCTGCTGATGTCCATTCATGTCTGGACAATATGAAAAATCAGAGGAATGAAACAAGCTAATCACAGTGGATATTGAGACTGGAAATGACATGGCAGGCAGGAGACTGCTCATTGTTGGTATTTTTAATAAACACTACAGACATCTCAACTTTTCAGGAACACATTTAAATAGATGGAATATAATTCAGCAGCACTGCAGCCTCTTACAGACAGACACCTCTCTGATATAGTGTCACCAAAACTGAGTATTGCAAGCTTAACTATGGAAGGATTTAGTGCAGGGCTGTTAGGCAGAATTAAATTACATTGTGTAGGTGTACCTGGAAACTTTGGAAACTCAAGTATAACATTACACAATTTAGCGTAAATGGGTTATAATTAATGCAAAACCACCAGTATAGTCTTTAAAACAGGGCTTCCATGAATAGACAAACAGGTCAACTTCTGTATCTACTCTACTGCCTCGTTAAAAAATATCAACATCAAATCAACATCAATATCAAAATATCAATATCAACTACCAAGCTACATCACTCTGTACTGACATGTTGCGTGCTAGATTAAGAACCTGAGTGCAGAGCAGCTGAAGATACACTCAGCAAAAACTTGGTTCCTTAAGAGTGGGATTCACAGTGCTGTACCAAATAAACCAGGAAGACAAACCTCAAGGGATTAAATAACTGTGTGATTACACACTGGAGTGGATAAAGCGGGCCGACCACACTGTTTTAGACACAGATGCCATATAAAGCAAGTCCGGTATCTCAGACTCTGCTGCTATCTTGTCCTTTTCATGTATCCCAGTATGTGTGCAGGTTACAGAGTTTGAACAAATGCTAGATTCCCAGCTGACAGTCATCAATGTTGTTAAAACTGCTGTAAAGAGCTCATGCTGTTCTTGAAACAAAAATGTCCTACTGAAGATCAGATAGGACAACCCAATGTTCCTTATAAAAGTGACACCAAGCTTAAACATCCAACGCAAACAGTCCAAATGACTCGTAACAATATTTAAGCAAGAGTGAAACTCAAACAATGTCAACTAGTGCTACATGATCATCTATGACTAACAATACTGTAAAACATCTAGTTAATGCTCGCTTTTCCATACAGGAAACACAATTGTCACTTGCAAAAGGTAGTTCAAATAAACACCAACCGATAACAGCTTTATACTAAAGTAAATGAAATCATAACTAACAGTCTATAGGCTTTGCCATGAGAGGTCTATGACTCAAAGTGTCCCTTTCCAGCAGAGACGGCAAGAAACTTAAGGCAAGTGTTCAAGCAGTAACATGATTCTTGTATGACCAACAGAAAGAGAGAACAAAAAGGTTTCAGTCAGATTTAACAGAGAAATATTTAACGGAACATTCCTCAGAATCCCAGAAACTGGGCTCTGTGAGGTACTGGTGAATGGATCCATGATTTCATTTGAAGGCAGATGTGGTTCGTTGGCTCTTAAGAATGTTGTCACGTCTGTAGGAATGTCCACAATGGAGAGAATACTTCTGCCCCCCCCTGCTTTTGGTTTGTCGTAATATAGGACATCCATCCCCTGGGAAGTATTGCAAAAATTTTTTTTTTATCTTTGAGTATTACAGACCACCATTGTAGGCATAGTCTGCCTTGTTGTGCATGATGAGTTTGTTGTCCACAAAGTAGAAACTGTCTGATCTGGTCTCGTAAGGGTGTGCAACCATTTGGCGAACTAGAGAGGGAGTAGGAAAAAAGAGGGAAGGAGGGACAGATGGAACAAAGATTACTACATGGATTATTATCTGAAAATATGCATGAAACAGCATTAACATTAGTGGCCGAACAAAATACACTCACTGAGGTCATCTGGAAGCTGTGGAAACTCATAAATGTGTTCACATGTGTTGCGGCTGTTGGGAATGCAAAAACCAAAGTCAAAGTCAAAGTTCTTGAGAAGGCGTCCCTGGAAGTAATGCCTCTCAATCATACGAAAGCTGTTTATGGGCCGGTCGCCCACTGTGAATTCCACACTGAGGAAACAAGAAAGACAAAATTTAAAATTCAGCTGAAACATAAAGTTTCAAACAACAGCTTGACTCGGAAGAGACTGAACACGAAAGTGTGGTTATTATGTTCAGCTGTTTTTTAATAATCAGAAAGTTATGGTGCATTTACTTACGTTGCACCAACCGTGCAAAGTTTTAGGAAGGCGGGTGTAAACTGATATCGGACAAAACGCCCTGCACTGGTGTCTACATCTCCACTCTCCTCTTCACCCTCCACAGGACCTAATGCAGAAACCATGTTTAGCTGGCATCCAATCACATATTCACAGGGTAGGCAAAAATTACAATAACTGATAGCATTTTAATTTTTTAATTTCTTTTTAAAGATACATACAATGCTATCTGTTACATGGAAGTGCTTAATATGATCTTAAATGTTCTCTATTATTATAACTATCTAAATTATCATTCATCAGATAGGCCTATTCTATAAAAAGCTGTGATAAAACTGATTGCACTAATACAGCAAGATTTGTAAAAGCAATGTCAAATAAATCAAATCAAGATGTTAAGAATACACTGAGGTTTCCCAGTATTTTTCTAAATTCTGAATACGTTATACACATTTGTTACTAGTGAAAAGGAAGCGATAAAAATGACACATTCCTTGAGCATTGCTTCTGTTTGTGGGACTTTCTGTTCTCTTATATAAATAATACTGGAGATAAACCAGAGAGCATACAATAATGGGGTGAGAGCTACACACAGCACACCCCTGGGAAAGACTGCTGATCTCATGCTTGGTGAAACAGCGCTTTGTTAACATTACAAAACCTGTGGGCTATAACTGCAAAGCGTCACAGTGTCTGTATACATGCTTCTCCAAACTGGTCAAGTTAGAAAAGGTTAGCTTTCTATACATAATGCAGATTAAACAACTGTTACTGGGCAGTCAGACTGCAACTCCAATCATAAACTTCATAGAACTGTGGCTGTATAAAAAAATATGTCATGTTGAGTGAAACAAATCTCCCCCAGAGAAACTTTGTGAGCTTGTGAATAGCTGCCTCTGTAACAGGCAAAAGCTAAAATGCTCCTTACCGCTGTTGGGAGGTTTGGCAATCTCAAACAGCACCGTTCCTGTCTCCAGATCTCTGATTTTAAAACGTGTAAAGTCAATGTTGTAGATATTGTCTTCAGGTTTGCACAAATAGTCTGGAATGTGAAATAAAAGCATGAGTTCATGTTAAGACAAACATATTGCAGGTGAGTCCATTATCCAACAGCCAGCAAGCACCCATCAGCAAATAGAGGTAGTTCTTTGATATTCAATGAGATTCACTAATACTTATGTGATGAACTTTTAGACAAGTCACAAAACACTTTGGAGCAAAAAAGCTCTCCCTCCCTTTGAGAACTGCGATAGCGCTTGATATGCATTTAGGGTTTCATTATCTGTTTTCTGGCTCCTGCACCTTGCAGTAGTGGTGAGTAATGCTACAGCTCAAGCTCCCAGCTTTACACAGTGTTGTGTGAGAGAAGGGAAGCAACACCATTGTTGTCTGGTCTGAGGAAAAGGCCAAAAACAATGGAAGGCATTAGGCAATTGCAGCAACTGTGGTAGACTGGGTGTCCGATGACACACACTGGGGTTTGACTCAGTGGGTTTAAGCAGGGCAGTTACTGGCATGGGCGGTGGTGAGAATTCCAGGGGACCAATGGAAAAGGGGACAAAAAATAGCAGATTAAATAGCTGCACTGATACACTTTTTAAAATTAACATGACTCTGTGTAACGTAAAAGGACCCCTTGTAGTGACAAATGCACAGCAAATCATCACCTTACTCTGCAGCCTCCCTCAGTTTTAAAAAGCTTTTTAGCATCTTTCAGCTCAGTATTTTCCAGCCTAAACCTCTGGTCCTGTCACACTTATTCCAAGTGAATAGCATTTTTGGCAATTAAGCTCCAATAAACACACTGTTTACCAACTGCTAAACCCAAATGGCAGACTAAGAGAGCATGTGATTGACTTTTGATCATAGTGAAGCCAAATATTTCCCTCAGCAGTGGCCTGTGGACAATAAAATAAAGCTTAATGTTTGATGAATAGACCTGTATTTGTAAGGTGGCCAGGAAAATAACTGCATGAGTATGTGTTTTCTATGTATTAACACATTTGCCGTTACATCCTTATAAAATGACACTCTTGCTACTGTTCACCTTTCCTCAAGTCCCCAAGTGGCCCAAAAAAAGATTTAATAATACTTTAAGGACAGGGGGCCCTGGACAATGTTCCCTCCGGCTGGCACACATTGCCTACTGCGCCCCTGTTTCCATCCTACTTCTTTGATTAAAACCAAATAGTTAGGATGCCCAACTCCACACAAAGTTAAACACACTGCGTTAACTCGCTGTTTCTCAATATAATCATTACAATTAATTAATTATTGGTAACTTAAACTGATCTGGAAACTCGTCACTTAGCCACGATTAGCATAACGTTATAGTAAATAGTGCCCGTTTGGCGGTGTGATTTTACTCACTTTGAGACCAAGGTAACATTTACATTACATACCCTCCGTGACTACCCGGAGACCCAGGACATGGTCCGGGGTAATATCTCTCCCCAGAGCCCGGAGTTCATCCTCTGTGACCACGGGCCACTTATCTGTTTGACTGCGCCTCGACTTCAGCTTCTTCAGCATTCCTCCTCCGCTCTTTCGATCCCTATGATTCGTCTCCGAGCCGGTGTTTGCGTCCGTCTGACCTTTGCTGACTGTCGGTGCCGGTTTGTTTCGTGAACCGTTCATACCGGACACAGCGGCGCTTATTTAAAAAAGAGATGTTGCGCTTTGCAATTTGGGAGCGACTTACAAACTGCGGGTGTAATTTCAAGATGGCGTACAACGTGTATAGGAGACGGAAAACTAAGAATGTGATTGGCTGAGAACGATGGAGATTGTCATAGTTACCGAAGGGGTGTGATCGTATTTTAGCCCCGGCCTCCCCGCTATATCTTTAACTGGGTGTATTATGTTTCTACAAAGTGTTACAAGATTACTGAGTTGATTATGAGCATTTTGTTCAGTCCACGAGCTCTCGTCGGCCACCTCTTCCGTTTACTGGAATGCTAATAACATCCGTTTGTTTTTATTCCTGTTAGGAAACATTATACATGTGTTGATGAATTAATAAAACAAAATCGTGCTGCCCGGTGTCTGGTATGAAGTACACCAAGCACCGCTTGTAATGTCCAGCGAGTGGCGCTAGTGCAACTCTCCGGTTAGTGCATTGTTCTTCTGTTGACGGAAGTCCTCACAGAAGAAGAGAGGAGCTACGATGGTGCGTGTGAAGTCCAGGTAAAATGTGATATTCATGTGTCATTTGCACACGTTTAGTGTGTTCACAGGTCGTATCTGACTGTATCCCTTTTGTCGGTAGGTATTTACTGTGCGAAGTCAACGTGTCAGACAGAAGCCGCCTGTTGCTGCTGGATGACAGGGCTGTTGCAGCGGCAGTGAAAGCAGCGGTGGCCCGAATACACGGGGACTATGGGGCAGCTCTCTGCAGCATCAGATTCTCTGGTAAGCAGTGGTAGTAGCAAATACTCCATAACAAGTAAAAGTCCTGGATTTAATTTCTTATCATATAGTTCTTTCAGGATATTATAGTCTTGACTGAGCTCTCAGTGTTATCTGATGTTTTTTTTTCCTTTCTAGTGAAATATCTGAATGCTCATACTGGAATAGTACTCCTGCGTTTTCCCAAAAGGTGTTACAAACTCCTCTGGTCTGCATTGCCTTTCATTACCTGTATTGAAACTCGTGGGCACATAATCCCATGCTTTCTGAACTGTTTGCATGTGGGAGGTGAGAACAGCAACAGCATCACACATTTCATAATGAATCAGATATATATCTTAAACAATCTCACTTGAACACTAATTAGAGGTATATTTTTCAGGAACAATTAGAACATGTCAGAAGTTTTTGATCCGATACAACACCCAACAGCTACATCAAATGCTCCCTAAGTGCAAAAACGAAGGTAAGGGATTCAATTGACTGCTGTGTAATAGTTTATGAAACACCCTGAACTCTGCAATTACAGGTAGTAGTGATCCATTAATTGATTTACCTGTTTGTGATTTAACTCACCTGTAATAAAATTCCCCAATAACTTGGAAGGTTTGCCAGTGTTGAAAATGAATCTTCTTGAATCTTACAGGATATACTGAAACATTTCACTTAAGATCATTTTGAATTTTGTATTGCAGTCTGTAGTTTATTCAGACCATTTATTAAATACAAAACATTGATTACATGATGGACAAAGACAAATAACTTTGACACTGACTAGCTCCTTCTCTCTTTTTTTCATTTGTAGAAGAAAAGCAACAGGTTCAGACAGCTATTCTGAAGTGCTCTCTAACGGGAGGAAACAAGGAGACATTTGGAGAGGAATCAGATAGTGAGGAAGATGAACAGTGACTTCAATGAAGTAAAAGGTGGCGGACTATTTTTGTTATGGGACCGATAGAAAGGAAGATATGAAGTATTTGAAGAAATGCATACTCCACTCTGTGGATATATGATTTACTGCAGCTGCTCAGTGCATTTGCTACTACACAACTGACTGACTGTATACCTGTCTTCAATAGAGGGACACATGACGTTACATAAATAATTACCATCACATAACACAAAATAAGACTATGGCCTAATTCTGAAAAAAGCAAAAAACAAAAAAACCCACACTTTTTATGTTTTTATGAAATATTTTCTATTTATACTATGTTTTGAGCTTATGTATTTTGTTTAAAAAATAAAGCACTGTATTCGAAGATAATATATTTGTCCTAGTGTCCTTAAAATAAAGTTCTGTACATACTTATGTAGACCATTCAAACATAAACAAATTGGTGGTATAGGCTACAGTTAAAAATATTCAAGATGCAGAGATATTTATATGTAATCTTTATCGGCTGACTTAACAGAACCTTTAACAATATTGCCAATACCGTGTCATACCATATCAGAATTATATTGCTTATTAAACCCATTAATTACCTAATCCTACTTAAAGGGGAACACCACCTAAACTAAGAATTACAATATTTTATTTCCATGGCTAAGGAAAGATTAATCAATATTTGTGAACATGAGTTACTCTCTCTCAAAGCCAGAAACCAGAGAAGTAAATCTCAAATTTGTGATGTTCTCAAGTAAAAAGTCTGGAGCTGCTCTGTAGACAATGAATTCCTTTTTTATACCCGAATGAGCTTTAGGGGACTTTCCGTTCACATCAGGGATCCAGGCCTGGATTATGGGCAGTGCTAGGGTATAGCCTACTTAAAAAGTGGTCTCCAGTTTGGTTCATGTATACTCTGGTACGGTACACATCAGGTGTGAACACCAGCTGTACCATAACACAGAAAAGGGTTGCTATTTAACGCAACTACAAGGCGTTTTTAATGGGTTATGAAACAGTCTCAATTTAATACTGATAGCTCTATATCAGATGGCAGCAGAGACAGAGACAGATCTGGCTTTGTTGCCACCTTCAATCTGCAGTCGAAGCTCTGGCGGGAGGCAGAGAGCGCCGTGCCCAACAGCAGCAGCAGCAGATCCTCCTCCAGCCAGGAGCAGAGCTTCACCCTGTCGCTCCACGGGCCCCCATTGATGACTGTCTCTGGAGCAGCAGTGTCCCTTCTACAGCACCTTTTTCCACACTCAAGGAAACAAAAATGTCACACACATGATGACACAAGTTTACTCACATAGTGAACATTACTAATGTGAAACCTGAGCAGCAGGTGAGTGGAAAAGGGAGAGCAATCGTACTGCGACACAAAACATATCAATCACACAACTATAAAAACACCCTTATTATTATTAAACACCCTTATTCTATTGTAGTGTTCTCAGTTCTGAAACAGAAAATGTACCCATATACTCACAGCATTGCCCTGGCTCCTCTCAGTGTCATCCATGACATATTTCCCTGTTCATTGTCAAAGGAGCAGCTCCAGATGTTATACCCTATGACATCATAAATTTGAGTTTAAATCATATAGGCTAGTTTTTTTGGATTTGAGAGACAGTTGTTCATGTTGACAGATATATTTGTTGACTTATAGACTACATGAATAACATGTTTAAATTTTGAAAATGGACGTAGTTACTCTTTAACTTGTGTTGGTTGTACCTTTATAGCCAACAAAGCTTTGACGACTGCATTTCCCACAGTTCCTTGCTGGGCCTCTAAACAGATTTGCAGGCGGTGGTACAAGAAACATCCGGGGCTTTCAGGTTCCTGTTTGGCGACCCGTCGCCATTAGTGCAAGCTCGTCGTTTCGGATATATTTTTTGATCAAAATCTCTGAATTGCGACGATTTCCATCTTTTGGAAAACATTTAACGCCTTGTTAAGGGCATTTTGTTTTCCTTAACAAGTAAAAACCTTAAATTCGGGGAGTCTTGGCCCCGCGTGGCGAGCTTTCGTCCTCTCTTCCAACAGTCTGCATAACTTGAGACGCCGATATCGTGTCTCTTATTTTTTCTCCGGTTGTTTTATTGTCAAGATGTCGCCGTGATGGGGTCTCCGCGTTTGACAGAAATGAATCAGGGCCTTCGTCGCCTGACCCGCACTCACTGCAGCCCGTTTTCCCCTTTGGTTTTTCATTTTGATGCTAGAGAGCTCAGCGGCTCTCTACTCGGAGCTCGGCCCCAGCACCGCTCACTGCACGGAGACAAACATGGAGAAAAACCCCAACAACAGCACCAATACCAAGGTTCCGCCTCGTTCCAGCTCCACAGGCCCAGCACCGGCAGACTCTAAACCCAAAACAGGTGAGTCAACATATCAGCATACACACACGAGGTTTTCAGATTCAATGTGTGCATATGAAGCTAAACACTCGTTGCCTTGTGGCCTGTTGGGGCCTAGCAGTAGCGCAGAGGTTGTTTATCTTGTATGGCTGACGTCGCTGTCAAAACATTTGGCCCTCCAACAGTCAGAACTGTGGCTAATGATTGCACACTGCACTATTTTGAAATACCATCTGCTCTGTTATCATGCACCACAGTTGTCACATTCGTGGATGCAGGCACAGTGATACATCTTGACAATCGACTTTTGCAAACATGAAGTTTTACATCTAGCTACTTGTGTAATTTGCACACCAATCTGAATATGTGACAGTTAAATAAGGCCACTATTTGAATGTTAAGGTTTTTTGTGTGATTAGGCTAAATTACCTATGCACAATTTTAAAATAATTTCATTACTTTTATACGATTATATGTTTACTTAAGAGGTAGTTGTTTCTGACTTAAAAGAAAATGGTGGACAACCCATGTTGAAGCTTGAAAATGCATAACCAAAAGAGACTGACCTGAGCCCCCTTTAATATCAGTATAATTAAGTAGCCTATGTTTACATGCCTTTATGGAGCTAGGTCACCAAGTCTCCCATATGACTTACTTTTTCTTCCAGCACTTTCTGGTTAACAACAAATCAGGCATCAACAAAATAGAGATACTGAAGGATAATATTTCTGTATTCATGTTGCTAATATTTTCTTTTTTTTCTTTTCAGAAAATAAAAATAATGGAGGCTCCAAGCGCTACAACCGTAAGCGTGAGCCCTCCTTTCCTAAAACCGACAGTTTTCAAGGCCCTCGCCACACCAATTCACAGAAAAGCAAGAATTTTGACAAGAGACCCCCTCAGAGAGGTGGAGGACGACAATATGGAGTTACAGGTGGAGGACGACGTGAGGAGGTTGGTATTCTTAAAGGATCACCCTTTTAAAAAAAGCGATGTGAAAATAATTTCAATAATAAGAAAGAAGATCTCATCATTGAAGATTTGGAACTTTGAACAGAGGCACAGCATCAGTTTTAAGTTCAGATATGCGTTATTGATTCTTATCCACCTTTGTCTATCCAGGTAGTAGAGACACGCCGGGCCGAGTTTAGCCCGGCTCAGTTTGCTGGACCGAAAAAAATAAGCCTCAACCACCTGCTGAACTTCACCTTTGAACCCCGTGGAGGTAATGGTGGCATCGGAGATGGGGGCTCCTCCGGTTGGGGCCGCCGAAACAAATGGGGCCACAAGCACAAGCCCTTCAACAAGGAGCTTTTTCTGCAGGCCAAGTAAGCAGCCCCACCCTACAATACATAACATGGAACAGACAGCCTAAAAATGTGGGAGTTATCTAACTTTGTGTGTTTCAGTTGCCAGTTTGTGGTGACTGATGACCAGGACTATAAGGCTCACTTCACTGATCCAGACACTCTGGTCAACTGGGACTGTGTGCAGCAAGTGGTGAGTGCCTGTCAACTGCTGAGCTGTGCTACTAGTACATGCCTATAAGAAATAAAACCCACATTCATTTACATACCGATGCACATAACGATAATCCATTTGTGTGCGTCTACAGCGCATCTACAGTCATGAGGTGCCGTCTTGCCCTATCTGCCTCTACCCTCCTTTGGCAGCACACATCACCCGGTGTGGACACATCTTCTGCTGGCCATGCATGCTGCACTACCTGTCTCTTGGCGACAAGAGCTGGTCAAAGTGCCCCATCTGCTATGAAGCAGTTCACACCGCTGACCTGAAGAGGTAAATGACAGATAATCAAAGCATTATAGACAGCAGTAGGAGAGAATTACATATTTATTTTAAAAGGATGAACAAGGGAAACACTGAAACCTCCACATAGAGGCAGTTTAATTTATTTAGGTCTGATTGAGTTTCTTTGACAGTGGCAAGTCGTTTATTTTTGCAGTGTGGTTGCTATGGAGACCAGGCAGTATGCGGTCGGTGACGTAATCACCATGCGCCTGATGCAGAGGGAAAAGGGGGCTCTGGTGGCCATGCCGAGCTCTCAGTGGGTGAAGGTGGAGGAGCCTGTTCGCTTTGGTGGTGAGAGACAGGGGCACCTTTAACTATGAAAGAGATTGTTGATTTCCTCTTAGCACTATCGTCCTTTAAAATGATTTTATATGACTTACAGTAATTCTGTAGCACTTTCTACATACATACTTGTTACATCCTCAAACAAGTTGGATTATGTTATGATAAGATTTACGACCATCTCTTGTAGACAGAAATGCAAGAGAATCATTTTGCACTTTGTATTTTCACTGTTAGTATATAACTCTTAAATGGGATAATTACCTTACCACCCATTCAACATGTGATGACATGTGTTTTCTAGATGCATGTCTAAGCCCGTACTCCAAGCTGCTGCTGACCTCCCCGGTGCAGGTTCTGAGCCTGTTGGCAGAGGAGAAGGCTGTCCTGCAGGCTCAGCTGAGCCAAGAAGGGGACGCCCAAGGGTGTTTCATCCAGAGCGCCCTTTGTCTTTTGCAGGTAACTAACGCTATATTTCTTTCCACACAGTACATAGTTAGCAATAAAATCATTGTATGAATTGAGGGCATTTAAAATAGATACAACAGGTATGGAAAACATTACTACTGATAATGGATAAAGGTTTTTGCTTTGCCATTAAATATAAAATCAGCTGTTTCTTGCCTGTCTCCAGGTGGAATATGAAACCCACTTTTTGACACTAAGAATAAAATACATGTTGACAGATATTTACCTCTCTACCTGGATGTCTTCATGCTTTAGGAGCGAGAGGAAATGCTACTGAAGCAGCAGAAGGCAAATGTGGAAGACAGCCTTGATCTGTCCTCTCTAACTCTGGAAGAACCTTCTTCTCCTGTGGAGGAAGTGGTTTCTAACATCAGCAGCACCAAGGTGGGTCCAAAAACACATATTTTCAACATTCATGTTTGACAGTATGGTATCTGTTGGTAATAGGATTAAATTATTTCACTTGCATGTTCCTCCCCAGCATTGTAGCTTCTATTTTATATGGTATTATTGGTATGCTTATTATTAGTAAGAGGTCTCTTTCCTTTGTAGCCAGTGCTGCAGTACTCCTCTGCATTTGATGACGAGGTGGCGGAGGTCCCAGAGGATGCCACTGCAGAGCTTCCAGGCTTTCCTGAAAGTATTTTGGAGAGTGTCCTAGAAGAGCCTCCAGAGGCTATGATGGATGCAGCCCCAGAGCCCCAGCCTGATGAGGAGATCCCTGCCAGCCAGACAGATTCAGGCCGCCCTTCAACCAGCGTAGTGCATGGACCCTTTTACTATTTCTACCAAGGTGGGTAATTCCCTGGACTCCTGCCTTTTCCTTGACCTGCCCACCAAAATCAGACGAAGTTGATTTTTAAGTTGTGTCAGGCTTGGCTGCTGTGAGGGTAATGTTACTCTGAGGAAACTGTGAACTGAAAACATCCTGCTTACATAAGAACCAACACTAAGAACAATAGTTTAATCCAGCTACAGGAAGACAGAGAGCAAATCAGCTCAAATCAGCTGTTCACAAGCTAATAAATCCTGTTTGGTTAGTAAAAAACAGAATCAAAAACATTAACATACCTTAATCATAGCTGGAAAATCTTGTAAACATTAGTCATTAAAACAATAAAGGATGTCTTGGAGTCTGACCAATAAAAAGTACAGGAAGCCTGCTTGTCTTGGCTGTATGGGCTGTTGGTTTTTCAACCCTCACCTTTAAGTTTCAGTGTTGACTCAGTTTTTTCCCATTACCTTTTCCTCCCTCTCCCATGTTTCTCAATCCAGCTGACGACTGCCAGCAGATGTTCCTGCATCCTGTGAATGTACGCTGTCTGTTGCGTGAGTACGGCAGCTTGGAGGCCAGCCCTGACTCCATCACTGCCAGAGTGGTGGAGATAGTGGGACACACAGTCACTGAGGTCAGCAAAAGAAGGAAACACAACCTCATACTATTGATATCATTTTGGTGTGGCTGTTTCAGCAGAGAATGTGGCAGTCTTATATATAGTACAGGCCAAAAGTTTGGACACACCTTCTCATTCAATGCGTTTTCTTTATTTTCATGACTATTTACATTGTAGATTCTCACTGAAGGCATCAAAACTATGAATGAACACATGTGGAGTTATGTACTTAACAAAAAAAGGTGAAATAACTGAAAACATGTTTTATATTCTAGTTTCTTCAAAATAGCCACCCTTTGCTCTGATTACTGCTTTGCACACTCTTGGCATTCTCTCCATGAGCTTCAAGAGGTAGTCACCTGAAATGGTTTTCCAACAGTCTTGAAGGAGTTCCCAGAGGTGTTTAGCACTTGTTGGCCCCTTTGCCTTCACTCTGCGGTCCAGCTCACCCCAAACCATCTCGATTGGGTTCAGGTCCGGTGACTGTGGAGGCCAGGTCATCTGCCGCAGCACTCCATCACTCTCCTTCTTGGTCAAATAGCCCTTACACAGCCTGGAGGTGTGTTTGGGGTCATTGTCCTGTTGAAAAATAAATGATCGTCCAACTAAACGCAAACCGGATGGGATGGCATGTCGCTGCAGGATGCTGTGGTAGCCATGCTGGTTCAGTGTGCCTTCAATTTTGAATAAATCCCCAACAGTGTCACCAGCAAAACACCCCCACACCATCACACCTCCTCCTCCATGCTTCACAGTGGGAACCAGGCATGTGGAATCCATCCGTTCACCTTTTCTGCGTCTCACAAAGACACGGCGGTTGGAACCAAAGATCTCAAATTTGGACTCATCAGACCAAAGCACAGATTTCCACTGGTCTAATGTCCATTCCTTGTGTTTCTTGGCCCAAACAAATCTCTTCTGCTTGTTGCCTCTCCTTAGCAGTGGTTTCCTAGCAGCTATTTGACCATGAAGGCCTGATTGGCGCAGTCTCCTCTTAACAGTTGTTCTAGAGATGGGTCTGCTGCTAGAACTCTGTGTGGCATTCATCTGGTCTCTGATCTGAGCTGCTGTTAACTTGCGATTTCTGAGGCTGGTGACTCGGATGAACTTATCCTCAGAAGCAGAGGTGACTCTTGGTCTTCCTTTCCTGGGTCGGTCCTCATGTGTGCCAGTTTCGTTGTAGCGCTTGATGGTTTTTGCGACTCCACTTGGGGACACATTTAAAGTTTTTGCAATTTTCCGGACTGACTGACCTTCATTTCTTAAAGTAATGATGGCCACTCGTTTTTCTTTAGTTAGCTGATTGGTTCTTGCCATAATATGAATTTTAACAGTTGTCCAATAGGGCTGTCGGCTGTGTATTAACCTGACTTCTGCACAACACAACTGATGGTCCCAACCCCATTGATAAAGCAAGAAATTCCACTAATTAACCCTGATAAGGCACACCTGTGAAGTGGAAACCATTTCAGGTGACTACCTCTTGAAGCTCATGGAGAGAATGCCAAGAGTGTGCAAAGCAGTAATCAGAGCAAAGGGTGGCTATTTTGAAGAAACTAGAATATAAAACATGTTTTCAGTTATTTCACCTTTTTTTGTTAAGTACATAACTCCACATGTGTTCATTCATAGTTTTGATGCCTTCAGTGAGAATCTACAATGTAAATAGTCATGAAAATAAAGAAAACGCATTGAATGAGAAGGTGTGTCCAAACTTTTGGCCTGTACTGTATATTATGTATATTTCTTCCGTATTTTGTTGGTCTGCTTAAGTCACAACTGTTAAAACATGGCAAACTGCTTTAACCGATTTTCCAAACATGTCTCTGATGTAGGAGATCCGTCGTCGGCATCGCTATCTGGCTCATCTGCCTCTCACATGCGAGTTCAGCATCTGTGAATTAGCCCTGCAGCCACCAATCTTGTCCAAAGAAACCCTGGACACATTCGCAGGTCAGAAAACTTTGCCTGCTTTCAGGATGTGAATTTACATTTCTAGCAAGGAGATTTCATAGATTGTAACTGTGGCTTGTATACTATTTCTTCCAAACTACTAGATGACTTGGAGAAGAGAAAGCGCCTGAGGCAGAAGAAAGTGAGGGATGAGAAGCGCAGGGAGAAGCGAATTGAAATTGAGGAGAACAAGAAGCAGGGTAAATGTAAGTACAGCTGATGAGGTCCCAACTGACATGATACTTCGAAATAATTTATGCAAATCTGAATGATATTAGGCTGAGGTCAGTAACTGTATTTGCCCTCATATGTCCCCCTCAGATCCTGAGGTGCATATTGGATTGGAGAACCTTCACCATTTCCCAGCATTCGGGTCTCCTCCTCACAACAGCAGCCCCCCAGTACAGCCTGACTTTACATTTGCCCCCCCTTCACCCCTCAGCAGCAGTCCTTCCTCTGGTAAGAGCAGCTCCGTCCTCTGTGATTATTGTTTCATGCTGTAATTAAACTTCAGCTGTTTATGTCTTATATTTAAATACTGTGAGCTGAGCATTCCTTTTGTTGTTTTAGATGGGATGAGATTCCCAAGTCTGAATGCGCAAAGCTCTTCACCTATTGTGGGTAGTGTGGAGGATGACTCCCACTGTATGTCCTTTGCACAGGTGTGTATGGCAAACACACAATTACTAAATTAGCAGCATTGCTCAGTGACGCTGCCTTTTTCATAAGGGCAATGCAACACATAACTGAAGTGCTAATGTTGTAGCACATGAGTTATTTACTTGACATGGTTCTGTGTCCTGTGTAGATGCTAAGAGATGGGAAAGCCAGAGTTGATGCTGGGCCCAGGATCACTCCAAAGAAAGGTAGTGCAAGATTGTAGATGCTGTGGTGACTTGAAAACCTAATGTTACAATTTTTAACCACAGCACAAATTAAAGTTAGTACTGATTCAGAAACTTGCAATACTTGACGAAATGGGTACTGTAACTTTAAATTCAATTTTAGGGTCCTCTCTAATTAAAATAGAAAGGTCAAGACAAAGCACTGGAATCACTTGAGGTCATGCATTTTGTGTTAACATTGAAGTGACGTGCATGAATTAGATGAATATACTCAAAGAAGCAGACTAGCTCTTGGTGGTGGGCTGCAGCAGTCAGCTCAAAGTTAACTGGAACAGTGTCAGTGCACCTTATTGACAACTGAATACCAAGTAACAAAGAGATTGATCCTACTTCAACCGAGAGCCAATTTTGAGATATTACATTTGGTATCAAAGGAAAAATCTGTTAATTTATCATAAAACTAGTCCTTCTTAAATGCTCTGTTGGACTTTTCTTTAAAAGACAGGTAGCATGTGCTGATAGGTGTGGGGGTGAAATAGCTGGAGCTTTGTGCAGTATTGTGTATTTCCTGTTAAGCCTGTTTCTTAACAACGGTTGAGCAGTGTAACACCCTGAAGGCTGCCTAAAGTAAGTATTGCGTTTTGTGCCTTGCAGATAAACTGCTAGCTCCCCCATCAGCAGACAGCGACGGAGAGAGTGACGGGTCCGACCGTGTCCCTGTGCCCAGCTTCCAAAACTCCTTCAGCCAGGCCTTTGAGAAGGCACTTCTGCAGCTGGACAATGGTGCAGCTTCTCCTCCACAACCTGTGGTCGATGCAGGTCTGGCATCAATGAGTCACCTCCGTCTTACAAATTAAATTTTGATAGTTCTTCCAAAGCTGTAGTGTTTGTTTTGAGGCTGTCACTCATTCTTGGTGTCTTGTCTTTCAGATGAGAAAGGAGGGAAAAAGAAGAAGAAAAAGCAGAAGCTTCTGTTCAGCACATCCATGGTTCACACAAAGTAGACAACACTGAAGTTCATTTAATCATCCTGTTTCTTGAGTTGATCCTCCCACTGCTGGTGTGTTTTTTTTACTTCCATGAAGAACTTTCTTGGAACTATAAACTATGGAAAAGCGTTTTAGTATGTAGCCAAAGTTCATGCTGCTTTCAGTCATTGTTCTGTGGGCTTGATCCATTTTTTGGTGACATGCCATCAGTTTAATTTACATAAATTTTCATTGCACAGCTAGGTCAAAGCTTTGCAGCTACCTCCTGTCACAGTGAAAGCCGTATGGATACATTTTGTTCAGATGCTAAAGCAAGGGATACAACAAGGTGCTGGCTTTCATTTTGTATGCTTTTAGGCTTTTCCTGCCTTCCAGAGACCTGACTTTCGTCACAGTGGTTGCTTTATGATGTCCAACTTTTCTGAGTTGAAGTTGAACCTAAGCGTCTAGGATCCATGAGTAATATTGATAAGATAATTCTTGGTGCTTTATAATAGAGTAGCAGTCAGCCAGCTGCAGATACATTGCACCTTTATATCTTTCCAAGGTACTCAGTGCTCAGATATCAGCCTGGAACTTCAGCTTAGAACAGATGGAAACAAATAACTATGGATAAATTTCAGTGTTTACCACAGGTAATAATTTGGGTTAGAGCTTCATTACCCTTCAAGAGGATAGATTTTGGGATTAAGGTCAATGCCCTGGTATTCTGTAACAACAACATGAATACATAATGTTGTAGTAACATTGTGAGGAAGTAAAAACACAGTATTGTATTAAAGAGGTGAGGTCTGTTGGCTCAGCAGAACTCCAGTATATCTTGCGTGGTTAAAGCAGTACGCACTTTCTTCTAATTCAGTTTCTCCTCTGTGTCATCTTCTGTTGTAGAAGGTTTACTAACTTTAACATTACGCCCCCAGTTTAATTTCAGTGTTGAAAATGTGTGAAATTGGAGAATTTCTGACATTTAAAGAATGCTTCTGAGACCTGAAGAGAAGCCCATTGAAAGTTTGTTTTGTTTGAGGGTTCTTTAATTCACCTTTAATTTTGAGCAGGTTCAAAGACTAGTGAAATAACTAGTCTGATGAAATAAATAAACAATTATGCACAATCAAGGAACTGACTGTTTGATGATACTTTTAGTAATGCCAAAGATGGTAAAGGATCAGTTGATAGATGCAGTACTTACTTTTCTCCACATGAGGGCAGTCCTGACAAGTCTGATTTGAAAAGTATAATCTATTATGAAGTTATCTCAATCAGAGTCAGCGCACATGCATGTTTGGTTAGTATGATCAGGGTCAGACATGACTGAAATTAATGCATTATGTGGGGTTACCCTTTTCACACAACAGGTCTCTGCATCCAGACAGACATAAGCTAAAGTTTTATACTGTTCATCTTTGTGAAACAGTAAGTTCCAAACGGGTTTATTTTCTTGAGAATGAACAATTATTTCTATATAGCTGCGATGGGATAATTTTTGTCCTATCACATCCTGTCTAGCGGCAAGCAAATGATGCGTCAAGTTATCCGCATCAGCTGGACAACAGCCCGGAAGTCGAGTGATTTACCTTTGATAGACCCGAGTTGCACATAGTTTAATTTTTTTTTTATATACTTTTATTAATCCCTGAGGGGAAATTCAATTTTCAATTCAATTTATTTTGGCTACTCACCAAAGAAATGTCCTGCAGACTAGAACGGACCTGACAACGTATATTGATGTAGGCATACATTAAAGGGATAGTTCAAAAATTTTGAAGTGGGGTTGTATGGGGTACTCATCCACAGATAGTGTGTTACATACAGTAGATATCAGTCAGCACACTTCCAGTCTGGAGAAGCAGGCTGGAGCCTGACATGGAAGCCAAGCAATCTACTGCTGGGAATATGGTCAGCAACAAAACATATTTTAGCCACCTTATAAAAGTCACACTAAAAAATCAATATCAGTATGACTGTATGCAATTTTTGAGTAATTGTACAGCTTTATCTTTCCGTCAGACAACTATTTTCAGCGGGATTATGAAGCTGTTTTATTGCTCTCCTTGAGGCCAGACTCCATTGAGAAAAACAGTGATTCAACAAAGCTGAACAAAGGAGCCGCTGGTCTTCCACTGCCTTAGAGTTGTTTTGTTTGTGTTACTGTGTGACTTTAAAATGATTAGTTCAGTTTCACCAAAGTCACACAACAACACAAATTAACTGATTGATGCAGTAGTGAACTCTGCTCCTGTGCTAAGCAAGCTAAAATTACTGTTTTTGTCAATGGAGCCTGGTGGCCTTGAAGAGTGCATAGATGAGGAACTGAAGCTGATTTCGGCTTCTCCACTAGAGCAGGCTACCTGAGGGAAAGGTAGAGCGTTGAAAACACTCTCAATATGGCATACACTTAAAGTGATACAGATTTCTTTTAGGTGGGACTTTTATAGGTGGCTTAAATTTGTTTTGTTGCTGCCCCCATCCATAGCAGTACATTGCTTAGCTTCTGTGTCAGACCCCAACCTGCTTCTCGAAAGTGAGTCGAGTGACATCCACTGTATGTAATACACTGACTATGGAGAAGTAGCATATCCAACCTCACTTCAAAATAATCCCTTTAATGTCTTTGGTCGTTATACTACATAACTACTTTGGCTCTGATATTAGTTCAGTGTGTGCTTGTGCTATACTTTATTTTGAAAGTATGAACCGGAAGACGCATGTTGGGCTGGCTCACTTGACACTGCTGTAGAGGCTAACCAGTCAGTCGGCTTGTTCAGCGCTGTCTAGTCGAGCCTGTCAACAACACTGCAACCTGAGACGGGATAGCCAGCCAGTTGGCTAGCTAAGTAAACCAGCTAAGTTAGCTGCACAGCTAGCCCCTGTATTAACCAAGTATCACGACTCGTAATTATTCCTCCGAGTCGGCGAGATGTATTGTTTTTGAAGTTGTTTCGACAAGAGAAGAGGCAAAACTGACTTTCTCATTTGGTAAGTTGTCTCCAGTTCTGATCAAACAGCCTGCGAAAGACAGGTTCAGTCAGTGTTTCCATTTTGCGAGTCCAGCTTCTTGAGTTGTTAGCTTACCGTTGCTAGCCAGCAAGCTGTTGATGCGTTCATCTTCCCTCGTATTTGAAGTCCCCGGAATTATAACACAGTTTGGACTCGACATTTGCCGTGAATGCATCTTGGTCATTCAGGACTTGGGGATAGTTTTTGTGCTTTAATTGCACTCCTGGTCTGAGCAGGCCAACTCTGTCTTTTCCTCAGCTGGACCAGGTACTGTCCGCGAGGTAACGTCAACGGTAGTTTAACGTTAGGTGAGCGGACAGGACTTGTTGCTAATTCTAGACTGAGACAGACTGACTTTCATGGAAATAGCTATTATTGAAAATCATAAAATAACTGTGGCTTGGCTTATTAGTAAAAGTCAGCCACTGTTGGATATTCAGATTTATTTGATTGACTACAAATTATTTGTATTAACATCTATTAATTGATGATCTGCAGGTAACTTGTGTCTTCATGTCTGTTCTTTTTATGCAGATCATCTATTAAGAGTCAGTGTATTGAGTATTCCATACGCTGACTCTTAATTGATGATCTGCAGGTAACTTATTGTATGTATTTTTGGGGGTTATCTCTATAGCATATGACATGTACACTGCACACCAATCTAGCCTTTTGGTTAACTGTTGCATATTTAAAGTCATGTTTAACTGTGCTTTGCCTTTGTTTTAAATTACTTTTAAATGCCAAGGAAGCCCTAAAAACCACGTGCTTAATAATGATGAATATTAGATACAGGATAAACCCTGCATAGAGTCCTCTTGGGTGACAGCAGACAACAGAGGTTATACATTTAGATGTTGCACTGGTTACTTTACATGTTTGTGGATTGTAATCAAAAGCGTTTTTGTACACTGTGAGAGACTAGACTTCTTCTTTTAGTTGCTAATAGATTAGCTGACATGTCTGTGTCAGGAATTGTCCTTTGTATAACTGGCTGAACCAGGTTACTGACTTTTATCTCCTTCTGTGTTGCTTCCTGCTAGAAATCAAAGAAATGCCTCTGTGACTTTTGCCGCACCTTTTTCTTAAAAATTCCTGCCAATCATTTTGAGTATTCAATACACAGATGTATCATGTTAGAAATTATACAGATCTTGGACTTTTTTTTTTTTTTTTTCACTTTTTGTGGCAATGAGTCTTGTGTGAAATACTCATATGTCTAAGGCTATATAAGGCAGATACTTCCCTAATCCCTGCTGTGCTGCTCGACCCACTACACAGTGAATGTTTAGCATTCCATCTTAGCGAAGGCGTTTCCTGTCAACATCTAAAGTTCAAGTTTTCAACTTTTCAATCTCTCTTCGATGAGCACAAGACACCATGTTCTCTCAGTATCATTATGTTTCCTTTTCTCCCCATTTCCCATTTTGATACAGTGAATTTATGGATAAAATGGTGTTGTCAGCACCTAAGTAGTGGAAAGTTTTCAGAATAACTCATCACTTGATGTACATAAAATGTACTGTGCAGAAAAAGAACAGACATGAAGACATGGCTCATATACCAAACAGTATTGTAAATAGTATTTATAGCTAGATCTGGCATTCACAGATTGAATTTACATAATAATAATAAGGAGTATGTGAGTGATAGCAGGAAAAGGAAGAACAGGAAAAGGTAAACACACTGTAGGGCAGCATTCAGTTAATGACTTTCCTCATACATTGCTCATTTGCTTTCCTCATTTGTTGTTTTTTCATATCTTGCCAAATATGCCACCATCTCAAATGTAAGGGTGTGACTGTGTTTACTCAAGTCTGTGTCAGTGTAAACATCATCATCTCTTTGCTTCATTATGGAGGCGTGAGAACACCACAGTGACGAAGTATTTGGACAGCCCATAGCAGCTCTGCCGTGATTTGTCTTCCAGAACCTTAATCGCAGCTCTGTTGATGAGTGAAAGCTTGTGTGCTTTGTTGACACAGAGTGTGTTCCTCTTAGGCCCCTTCAGCTCCTTCCTCCTGTGTGATATGACATCGCTGCTCGGTTACAACAAAAGCCAGAGCTCTACAGCAGACGGTTGACATCTGGTCAGGTAAGATATGCTGGGATTACCTCACAGCAGTTGGATCTAGCATGTCTTTTTTTCCCCAAAAGAGCTGTTTGCTGGTCTGTACAGCAACAACACAGCAACATGTGGAAAGCATTATCGGATGTGAGGAAGGAGTCTCTTAAAGGGCTACATACACAGGAGTGTGTGAGTTGTAATGCTTTCTGTCTTTGTTTTCACTATAGAAACAACTGATAAAACCCGATTATCGTCATAGTGTGTCCAAAAAAACATGATGTGGGGTTATCTTATACTAATCACGTTACCTTTATTTTTACATTGAGGAGTTAGTTCCAGGTATGTGAAAGTTTATGAGGGGTGGAGCTGATTGTTAAATGGCAGTGTGGTGTGAGCTTGCAGTGGAAACTCCATTCATTATGTGAGCCTGATTTGCCTGTGTCACAACATAAAAAAGAAAACAATGACATTGTGCAGATGTCCAGCCCCTCCCCTGTCTCAGGATCCACCTGAAAGGTACACAGTCCTGATCACTACTGTGCCAGTAGAATATTAATTATCAATAGAGAGACCTCCAGTGAGTGTTTCATGAATGCTGTGTTGTGTTCTTCCAATCAAATTAGCACTAGGTATTTATTTAACCCTAAATAAATTATTTTTTTCACAGCAGGCATTTTAACTTGTCACTGAGGCAAAAAGTCCAGTGTTACTAACAATGATAAAGATAGCTGTGTTCTATTCAAGTGACCTGGTAGGCTATGACTGTGCGACAGTGAGTCAGCATGCACAATACCAGGACCCTGAAGCTGAAGCTGCTAAATGGAATTTATCCATCATTAATTTCATTATTTACGCCTCTGTGACCTGCTGTCAAAATGTATTTTATGAAAAAGGTCTATCAGTGTGAATATGGATGACAAAAACAGTAATTGATTAATTATATCATCACTTATTTAGCTATCAGCACACGTGCTTTAACCTGCTGGAGTGATCATCAGTAGCCTTGTGTAAATAACTTTCTGGCTCATGTGTGTAATTGTGCTGCAGTGT